ATGAGTTCTGTTTAGCTCAAACCAGGACACCTCTCCTCTCTGCTCCTCTCTCTGTCCCAGTACATCGAGGCCATCAGCAGCAAGCAGGGCGAGCTGGAGAACTACGTCTCAGACGGCTACAAGACAGCTCTGACAGAGGAGAGGAGGCGCTTCTGCTTCCTGGTGGAGAAACAGTGCGCGGTGGCCAAGAGCGCCATCACCTACCACGCCAAGGTGAGTCAGAGCCACCGGAGCCACCGGTCTGTGGGTCCCCGCTGTGCCATCACCAGGGGATGCTCCTGTCACCAACCAGAGGATGCAGAGACCCCCAAAAGGCAGCCCCTGTGGCTCCTGGGGGGTCAGGGGGAGGTAAAGCAGTGAGCAGGGGTCAAACCAGAGACCAAACCGTGGTGTCTGCACAGGGCTGGGGTGCGGCAGCCCCCGGTGCTGGTCCAGAGCCGAATGCATCCGGATGAGCGCTGGGGACGCCGGCTCCGCTCCCGCAGCCCAGTGCTCCCGCTCTGGTTGTTCCCCACCGCCACCCCCCGCCGCTCGCAGCTCCCATCTGTCAGCGCCACGCTTGGCACCGGGAGCAGGAGCAGTCGGCGTTAGTCAGCACCGCGGGCTGGAGCCACACTCGGCATATGGGGACTCCTCCTGGGGTGCAAAAGGGAACAAAAATCCCCTCCCTGGGGAGCAGGGGTCGGTGGCACGAGGGTGCTGGCACCCACAGTCTGGCTGTGGCACGGGGAAACCAAAAACTCCTGGCGGAGGGGTTTTGCAGGAGGGGTTTGGAAGTGGCTCGAGCAGAGTGGGGTGGGAGTGCGTGTGATGTGGGGGACTGGTCAGCCAAAAACACCGTCCCATGGCTCCTCGGGATGCGGGGAGCAACTGTGGTCCAGGCTGTGCCTTGGCTGGAGCCGAGGAGAAACGTTCAGGGATTTGGGATTGGCTCTGGAAGGGGTTTGGTACCTGGGGACCAAGGTGGCTCCAGGGGTCAGGTCCCCCTGTGCCGTAGGGTGAGCCCATGGGGAAGCTGGCCCTCGGGCTAAGGAACAACCCCAGGGGGTTTGGGACATCTCCTTCCCAAAAGAGCCCTGTGATGGAGTGCACACTCATGTGCCATGGGTGCTTTAGGGCGATAAGGACAAGTTCAACTCCATCTTTCCATGCCCTTGGCTGGGAGCAGGGCAGTGCCCACCTCCCTATCACCCCTCTGCTCCTGGAGCTGGGATTTTGGGATAAACTGGGGACATAAATTACCTTTTCCTTCCCTTTTTCATGGCACCTTCCTGGCTCAGCTGCCAACAGAGCCTGGAAGCACCGAATCCCTGTGCCATGCATGGAGTCAGTGATGATCACTGGGGAGGGGGGCAGAGTGGGTTTCCCACACCCCCGTGCCCTCACGCCCCGTTTCTTTCTCGCAGGGGAAGGAGATGCTGACGCAGAAGCTGCCGCTGTGGCAGCAATCGTGCGCGGATCCCAACAAGATCCCGGACCGCGCCATACAGCTGATGCAGCAGATGGCTGCCAGCAGCAATGGCACCATCATGCCCAGCCCTCTGTCCACCTCCAAATCCAACCTCATCATCTCTGACCCCATCCCCGGTGCCAAACCTCTCCCTGTCCCCCCGGAGCTGGCACCTTTTGTAGGAGTAAGTATCTCGGTGGGAGAAGTTGGCCTGCCCTTTTCAGCAAAGCCGGAGGGACGAGCCCGGGCCGGTGTCACCGCTGTCCTCGGCAAGTTGGCCTTGGGATGGGCCAGCAGCAATTTGGGGGTGGGCAGCTCTGGGCATTCATCCCCTGAAAGGCAGGAAGGGGTACAGCATGGCTGAGGTGGGGATGGACATCCCATCCCATCCCATCCTGCCTGGGGTGCTGAGCTCCAGAGGGGCTGGGGCTGCTCCTGGGGGGATTTGGGGAACCCATGAGTTTGACTTGCCCAACCAGACTGGTCCCAGAGCTGTGGCACCAGTAAGGCTCCCCAGTAACTGCAAGAAAAGGTGCTTGGAGTGACCCATGGGGTGCAAGACCCTTCAAAAAAGGGTCTCCCCATGCCGATATGGAGGCATGAGGTGAGCAATAGAGCCCAGGAGGGATTTCTGGGGTGCAAGGCAGCTTGGAACAGCAAAATGCCATTGAGGGGAACTCACTGCTCCCCCAGAGCTGTTGGTCTGGGGTGGGGAGCCGAAACCATGGGCTGCCCCAGAGCAGGGGCTGTGGTGGGACCCCCTAACGCCGCCGTTCCCCATCTCCCCTCTCTCTCCTCTCTCCGTAGCGCATGTCGGCACAGGAGGCCATGCCAGTGATGAACGGAGTCTCGGGGCCGGAGGGCGATGGGTACAACCACTGGTCTGAGATGAAGCCAGCACAGCCCAAATCTTTATCTCCTCCCCAGCCTCAGAAGCAGCTGAGCGACTCTTACTCCAATACGCTCCCAGTTCGCAAAAACGTGCCACCGAAAAACAGCTACGCATCAGGTGAGGGCCCGTGCCCCGCTCCGGGGGTGCCGGCTGTGCCCACAGGGGCGTTAGGGATGCTCATGGTGATGGCACCATCGAGTGATGCTCCTGCCTCTGCATTGGGGTTGGGAAACGGACAGAGCCGGGTTCTCTGAGGGGATTTTTGGGTGGGTTTCAGCCTGCAGAGAGGATTTCCAGGAGGAAAACCTTGGTCTGATACAGGGAGGCTGCTCCCTTTTGCCCCTGCATTGGCACCTGGGGTAAAATAGGGGAAGTTGGGGACCTGGCAGTGCCTGGGCATGGCCGAGGGGTGAAGGACGTGGGGCACTGCTGGATCTCTGTGTCCCCCCAGCCGAAAACAAGACACTGCCGCGCTCCAGCTCCATGGCCGCAGGGCTCGAGAGGAACGGCAGGACGAGGGTGCAGGCCATTTTCTCTCACGCTGCTGGCGACAACAGCACCCTCCTGAGCTTCAAGGAGGGAGACCTGATCACGCTGCTGGTGCCGGAGGCCAGGGACGGCTGGCACTACGGGGAGAGCGAGAAGACAAAGATGTGAGTGCCATAGCCATCCCCATGGCAGTTCCCGTGTCCTCCTGCACCCCAGGGTGGCCTCTCCTGGGTCCTCTATGCATAAATGTGGATTTGGGTTCATGTCTGGGTTTGCCTTTGCCTTGCAGGAGGGGCTGGTTTCCTTTCTCCTACACGCGCGTCCTCGACAGCGACGGCAGCGAGCGGGTCCACACCAGGTAGGAGCGTGGTGTTGGGAGGTCCCTGTACCTCTCTCGGGGTGGGTTTGGGTTGGGAATACTCTGCTTCTTCTGGATATGGTGCTTGTGAGGAATAGCTTCAACAAGGCCAAGTACCGGGTCCTGC